ACGTATATGTAATTAACATTATTTTCAGAAAGAAAATAAATCATATCAAGGATTAATCAAATAAGTCACCATTTCATGATAACAAGGATTAAACCATTGCAAGTAAATTGTTTAAAATTATTGAAAGCGAATTCAAACTTTGGCAGTTATAATTTTCCCTGTGTATATAAAAGGGTTAAATGACGTTGACCTATTGTGTGAAAGAATATGTTTCACAGCATCAAAAACTACGTGTCTTCATGTACGATAAACCTTACAAGCTTCACAAAATACCCGTGTCATTTTAAGTTTTGAGGTATCCCTTTTGCCTAATTTATCAATGTGTACCCCAACTGATAGTGGGCGTGGTGATAAAGTCCAGATTGTTTAGAGAGCGGTGGTACATGTGTGCCACCAGCCTCACCAGTGTTTATATTAATATAATTTCTGTTTTTAGATCAAATGACACAAATTGTAGTTAGATCCCAAACACAGATGAACACTAGATGCAACACGTGCAAACACGCGTTTGCTGTATAATCCAATAATTAGCACGTGCATTGTAGTACGGTTTGGAGAGTTTGTGTCTATGGCCATCACCACCATTCTGGTGAACGGTAAATTAAATCTTTCACGATCCCCGCTACGGAGGCTGTTGTATCAATTCCAAATCGGTTAGGGAGACAATTATGTGATCTGGCTGTACAATTGTTAAATGATTTAAAGTATTCTTGTCGAGACCTAAGTCGAGCCGGGTCATTTTCACCCCAGGCGGTGGCTCGGAGTGTTTGGCCAATTGAACATCAATGAATGCTATTAATTTCTCTTTTAAAATCGACATATCAAGTGTTATAGTCTGTTTATTTTCTTTGTTCAGTTTATATCAATGATGTTTTTCGTCAGATATGATTTTCCGAAGTCGTGTGATTCGCTATCGGTTTTCCAATTATGTTCAATTTGCTTTCAAATGCAATAGAATGGAGTATCAGAAATATATCACACATTGTAACAAAAATGTGTAACATGTCAGGACCTTTTACCAATAACATTGCTTAGGAATTAACTCAGATAGAATCAACATAATATTATAAAGACAGTGCACATCTGTTAATGAAGATACTCTAAGTTACATTTGTAGTAACTATTTTGGCATGTACATTGGGACTGTTAAACGTAGTGAACATACAACCATATACATATAACTTGCTATATATGTTATTTAAATACATGTTTTCTAGTTAAGATGTCATTAAAGAGGGTTATCTAGAAACATTTAATGTATTAAGAAACTAGTTATATTCAGTAGAAACTTTAGCATTTATTTACTATTAAATTTGTTTTAGGAAATTTGAAAATCAGTAAAAGTTCTTACATCTAAGAAGTGTTATCTTTATCAATGTGAGATGCTTCAGTATGTTGATATTTTCTTGTTGTTTTTTGTATACAAGTATTCATATACTGTGTATAATTGATTTAATCACAAGCATGTGAATAAATAATTTCTAGTCTGCATTGAGAATTTGGTTGTTACCTTAATCAATTGCTCTTTTCTTCGTCTGCGTATTTCGATCAATTTTGAGGTATTTAAAATTACGTTTTTAATAATAATATGTTGATAGATAGGTCTATATTTTTGTAACCTAATTATTCCGTGCAATTATTCCATACCCCAGAATATGTTTTGTTCACATGTAGACATATATGTTTTAACATATCAATCATTTTTGTCATATCCTTCCGTTCTCATTTTGGAAGAAATATTATATTACCCATTAGCATTTTGACTCTGATGTTTAATATTTCTCATATTATATAATAAGTCATCAATTGTATTATATAACATATAAACATCATATGTATAAAGTCTTTTTTCTTGATTCCTTTTCTGGCAGTAGATAAATACTTGGATGGTTAGAAAGACTTTTAAAGCATTTTCAGCTGTATTATCCATTACTTTTACTTTTAGATTGTCCATATCTGTACATAACAGATGATAACAGCAAGAACGGGAAAACATTAAGGGAATTTGTATTAAACATGTTCCTGTCTGTTTGCGTTCGCTTCTGCTGTTGGTGTCGACTTCGAATCGTTATTTTGCCGATATTGCGCCTTTTTATGTGTATTTCAATAAATGTACAGAATAAAATATTAGCATCGACGTAGCTAGTAGCTATTGCTTTTGGGCAACTTATAAAAGACACTCTCTCTGCTGTAACATTTTGTGGCCGATGACCGGCACTAAGAAATTGTGTATATTAGTATAATAATTTAAAAGAATTTAGCAAATTTTCGTGTTATATTACATGTTCCTAATGATTATTCGATTTTTCCTTTCCTTTTTTGTGGGAGAGGGGGGGGAGGTTGTGTGGTGTAAGTTCTTATTACATTACATCTTCAAAATGATTGCTTGCACTTTGTTGTCAGAGACTAATTCTCTCCAGGTATTTACGACAGAGTGTGTTACATGTATGTACGGATGATTCCATTTTGTCAATTAAAAAAATAATAACAATAAAAAATTGTCAATTAAAATAACATCTATAGTGTTATCTTGGTATAAGTTGGGATAACAGTACTTTCTGTTACCACATATATCTTAATGGAGTATGGAGGTCTGATGGCCAACGATTAAACTTCTTCTGACTGAAGATGCTTTATTTGAAAGGTTAGCTTGAATAGTTAATTGGTATTGGTTTTTGAGAAATTTATATTGGAGGGATTCTCTGCTGGAACATTTTAAGGCCTTGATAATCATGACCATCTCTAAGAAATTGTGTTTGATAATATAATTATTTATACGAGTTTTACGACTAAATTACATGGTTGCAGTTCAATTTGCCTCTACTGTATCTAATTCTAAAATATCAAAAAGAGTTATTCACTTTATGGTATTTTAAAAAAATCTTTTAGAAAGTAATTAAAAAGCAAAAATTACTCTACCTTTTGTACTGTCGTAAAAGTGATAATTTATGTGTGAAAGTTGATATATTCCTGAATAGCAGGCATGGCAAGGGGGGCTTTCCTTTTGAGTATCCTGTTTCATTTTCATTATCGTTCAATGGAATAATACTTGAATTATAAGAAAATGCTGAACTTTCATATCATTTTAACAAAATTTAACCCGCAAATGTTAACTACTTTGTTACCACGTCACGAAATTAAACATTTTGAATATTTAATGATTTTATTTAGACATATTTTATCTGTTCCACATTTACAATGGGGTAGGTCATTTTACTTTATTTTCCCGTAATCTTAACCCCTGCAAATTACTTTTCTAACAGAAAACAACACAGTCACAAATTGTAGTGCGCTTCAAAAATCCTATAAAACGTCATACTAATCGCTCAACTTCGCTGATAAATAAACTTATGGATTAAATAGTAATTAAAAATTAAGAAATTTCACATATACGTTTGAATTCGTTTCATGTGAAAGTATCTCCTACTTCTAATCATCGTTCATCTTTCTGGTATGTATTATTTATTTATTTAATATATCGTTTATCTTTTGAACATATCCTTTCAGCTTTTCTTGGTTATTGATTCCTTTGAATTCCACCCCGGCGTTAATTGTGTGGTTTTAGTACAATCTTCAGTTCATATTTCTTTATTGTCTTTTTTAGATTTAGTTTTTATTTTATAATATTATTATAACTAAGCTTTTTTATATATCTAGAGAATTAATTTTAAGAATATTGTTTTAGTTTCTCTTGCCTTCAATATTTAGCATGACTGCTTTGACTGAACTTTGAGGTTGTGCTTTCTGTTTAAAACGAGCAACTCTTGGTATGTATGTCTTCAGTTTCGTTTATTTCGATTATCAAATTTTTGTATTGATTTAGAAACATTTTTGAAGATTACCAATTTCCAGGAGACTTGTGATACACTTTTAATATTCTTCTGACGTACTTGTATATGCTGATTCAATCATTTAAAAAATCAGGAAACGTGGCTTTAAATTGATTTAAAGACATATTGATTACATAAAATGCGAACAATTACGCAAAAGATTAGACCAAAAATAAAATCTTGATGACATGAATAGAATATAATTTACATTTGAACTTGCTGTTTTTCTAATCTAAGGTTGTTCCTATTATTGTATTGGTTTTTAAACTACTGAAAATAGAATGTCATGAAATTGTTTGTACTAAAGATTTAAGTTTAAACCAAAATTGCTTACATTATACAGCAATCGATACGAGGCACTGTTTTCTTTTTTCAATATTAAGGCCGTAGACAAATTTAATCACAACTGCAATTCGATACTTTCGAGGGTGCACAAAGCAAACATATAAATAAGATATTTAGGAAATATGCATATTTATTGATCCATAAACTATTTGAAAATTCTCATTTTCACACAACAAAGAAAGAATAGTGATATGAAATACTTGTCTCTATCATCCAATATTGGATCGAAAAATTTAGCTATAAATATTGTATTTATTTATATTTCATTAAGATGGGTTCAAATTCTTTTGAATTATGTGCATCATAATCATCAAAACAAACACAAAGATATATATTGTGGTAATAATTTATTTGAAACAGTGAATCTAAAATTAACAATACATATCTAACACCTACTATGACAAATTGATAATGGCATTTTGTGGCATCGGTTTCATTAGGTACAGAGTTGGTGAACATAAATATAACTGTGTATATACCACTCAAAGTGACTGAAATATAACAAAGTCATTATATCTTTGCAAGCCCGTTTTACAACATAATGTGGTGACGGATACGTTACAAACAACATGGGTGATGGATACGTATTTCACGTGCAGATATGTAACTTATTAGTGACACCATTATCTGATCTCTAGAGTATCATTTCTACTAATGGAGTGGTACAGTGTACATCTTTAGTCAGCATTGTGAACCAGATCACCTTATGGTCATACACTCCTGGTAAGAACATACATTATGTTATTAACGTTAATCTCGACTCCGCCCTTAACAGATGAGGTTAGGAATGGATACAATGGTTTTATGTTTATTTTGTCTGCCACCTTAGTGCATTGTCGTACACAAATTTAGGGCTGTCTTGTTAACATCACCCTGAATCATTTTCACATCTTTAAAATTATCCTGTGTGCATGCGTTACCAGCCGAGAATGGGATGATGTCCGGGTCATCTGTTACGTTGAGTTCGTCGTCATCATTGTCGCTTTCGTCATCAGTACACATACGTAAGCAACTAGGATGTAGTGATGCATCCACAGAAAGTTCGGACACCTGTTCGACATCAATTATAGAACAATCCTCCCCTGCTTTTAGCCGATCATGGATGCGTTTGTGACGTTCAAGGTTGCTCTTATGACTCGTGGCATAGTCACAGTGTGGGCAAGAATAATCCTTTTGTCCACTATGCACCGATAAATGTCGTTTTAAAAGTGCTTTCCGGCAGAATCGCCTGCCACAATATGGGCACGAATATCCATTGTGATGGAATATCATGATGTGCTCACGGAGAGATGCTTTCGTTGTGAATGTAACTCCACAGCATTCTAACACCTTCTCACACGCTTGGTGCATGGTGGATACATGACGTTTGAGATTGTTCCGTCTATCTGTGACGTAACGACAGTGTGGACAAGGAAACAATTTACCACGGAATGTGTTACATACCAGCATGGCTAACTCAAGGTAATTCCTGTTGATAAATGGGGATTTGTACTTGGAGAGATCTGTTGGAAAAGCGGAGTGGGGATGCATGGCATGGTACTGGGCAAGAGTAAGTTGCTTCAGATCACTGGACGCCGAAGCTGCATTCATCGCCGTCGTGGGATACAGAGCTGTAGGGTATTGAAGGATCGGCGAAGGCATGGCGATACCTGGCTGGCAACTGACGGGAGTCATTGCGATGTTTTGGAAGGGCTGGAGACCAGTTGCGCTGATTGTCCTCAGAGAAAGACTGGTTGTCATTGACGCTCTCATAGGCGGCCTTTGACCCTGAATGCTATCAGGTGGACCACTTGTCCTTAAGGATGGAGTTGGTTCGTGATGATGATGGGCTAGGCGTCGATCAAGGTCGTGAGTTGGACGGACTGTCGTAGCATCACAGAGTGAGGCACTTGGGCCACTGTCAACAAAGAAAACCATTATTATAGTAAACTTGAAACTTATTCTTAAATATTATAACATATAGCGAGCATTGACTATCAAACAAATAACACACCTACCAACAGCTGATCATTCGGTATTTAAGTCGGCGTCTCGGCATTAATTTGTATATATCTGCTCAGTGGAAGAGCATGATCTATATTTGATTCGAACAGCACGCAATGCTGAAACTTCATAATAACATATTTATTGCACTTTTTTAATATTGTGTGATTTGAAATATGTTTAGCTTGTGACCAGTTATGTACGTATTTGAAGTATTTTTTCATTTCATGCAAAACCGATTTCAGGTTAAAAACTAAACATCCATTTAAAATTACCATAGATTAAAACTTAAACGTCGATTTGTTGTCAAATTTAAAAAAGGAAAAAAAATCAATTATATTTTGACAGAATGATAATTTTTAAAAAATGCCAAACGTTTGAAGAGACATTGATATAAAAAAAAATATGAAATAATAGCCGAGACTACGTTCATCACAATGTACTTAAAATTAACTGTTATATATATATATATTACCACTGCCAGTATGCATGATGAAATGCTTAGATCCTGATAACACTGGTACAGAAGCTACAAAATGACTTTCGCTGTAGGCTTTGTCATCCTCTAGTGTTTTCATTTCCTGTGTGACACTTTGAATATGCTTGCATATCGAATATCAATAGGTAAGATGACAATCCAAAGAAATAAATACCTTTCAATTTTAAAGAAAATAGAATAAAATCCGCTATCAGACAAAGATAAAAACAGTAAGATATTGTGTTGTAAAGCTGTGGCGATGCTCTTAGGTTCTGAGTACAGTAAGTGTTACCTTTCACTGGATGATCATACCCTGTCATTACAGTCATTTCCATTGGCGGAGGCGTTATTGTATCAATTAAATTTAATTCCCCGTTTAATGTGACCCAGCTAGACTGGAGCGCGTGTCGGAGCGTAAGGCAAGTGGTCGCTGATTAGAGGATAATGGCGGACAATGATGAAGGTATCTTTATATTACAGGTAATTGTAGGGGACGATATTTAAGTTAGAGACGGAAGAGGTTTGCTGTCCGCATTGATATCATACTCCAGAGCTGAGCTAAAGCTTCATTTATGTTTCCATGGGCGTTTTCCAATATCTAGACATATACATCACTGGATTTATCAAATTATTATAATACATTCCAATGCCTATAAATAAATCTATTTATGTTAACAATAAACGCATTAGTTTTATGTTCATTTAAGCTTATAAAAAAAAGAAAATTACAAAAAAATGTTTATTTAAGAAATGAACACATGATTACGTGAAGAGCATTGTAAATTTATCGACGAAACATAAACAAGAATTACGTTAGCAATGTACAGAATGGGAAAACGATTATTAGAGAGTTATGTTAAGAAAAAAAGGCCTTGGATGAAATCAAGCGTGAATTGATCGATGCCCTGGTGCAAAGCTTACGAAACTGATTAAGTGTTTTATATGAATACTTAACTAAGGTTCACTAAATCAGCACAAACATCAACCAAAGTGCCCAGAAAAACAGAAGAGAAAAGTGTTGGAGACGGAAGTAACTCTCTAATTTGAAGGCGTGAAAATTATGATGAATGTGTCCGAAAGAACAATTTTCGGATTAAGGAATTAAGTTGTCTGGGTCCTTAGCTGTAGTGGTTTATTCAAACGGTAATAGCAGGAAAGTGTTCGTTAACCGATTTAGAAATTTGAGGAAGTGCTTCTGGGGTTCTTGATTGGTTGATCACCCTCACTGCCCGACAGTAAATTAACTTTTTACTTGTCGGTGTTACGTCCCTGAGATTAGGGACTGAACTTCACCTTAAACGCTAGCGATATAATTTGAGATCCCGCAGAGATGCTTTGAAGCATAAGTGTGTTGCCGAGTCGACATGACGATAATAAAAGATTATTAATATGATTGATGAAGTGGGATTATTAGAGTTATGTTTTCTGTAAACTAATTGTATTACACAGCACCATTTATGCAATACTAGCACCGTTAAAGAAGAGGAGATTGAAGATGGCATTTATTCCACATGAAATAAACATCACGAGTTCACATATACAATATATCTGTACTGACTACCTAGCCATCACGGAACCAGATATTCTTTTTTCCAATTCAGATAGTTTCCAGCTATCGGTTTATCCAATCACCAAGTAACCAATAATTCGAGTCGTCCCTGCATTGGGCAAACAATGTTATTGTTAACATGATATCTAATATTTATGAGTCAATAGATCACAACATAATATACCATAGTGACAACACGAACCAACACAGTATACCATAACGTCATCACCAAAGCACTATACCACAACGTCGAAACACATCCCAGCAATATACCACAGCGTCGACACACACCAAAGCAATATACCACAGCGTCAACAGACACACCAAAGCAATATACCACAGCGTCAACAGACACACCAAAGCAATATACCACAGCGTCAACACACACACCAAAACAATATACCACAGCGTCAACACACACCAAAACAATATACCACAGCGACAACAGACACACCAAAGCAATATACCACAGCGTCGGCACACCCCAACGCAATATACCACAGCGTCAACACACACACCAAAGCAATATACCACAGCATCGACACAACCCAACGCAATATACCACAGCGTCAACACACACACCAAAGCAATATACCACAACGTCGATACACATCCCAGCAATATACCACAGCGTCGACACACACCAAAGCAATATACCACAGCGTCAACACACACACCAAAGCAATATAGCACAGCGTCAACACAAACCAAAGCAATACACCACAGCGTCAACACACACCAAAGCAATATACCACAGCGTCAACACACACACCAAAGCAATATACCACAGCGTCAACACACACCAAAGCAATATACCACAGCGTCAACACACACCAAAGCAATATACCACAGCGTCAACACACACCAAAGCAATATACCACAGCGTCGACACACACCAAAGCAATATACCACAGCGTCAACACACACACCAAAGCAATATACCACAGCGTCAACACACACACCAAAGCAATATACCACAGCGTCAACACAAACCAAAGCAATATACCACAGCGTCAACATACACCAAAGCAATATAGCACAGCGTCAACACACACCAAAACAATATACCACAACGTCGAAACACATCCCAGCAATATACCACAGCGTCGACACACACCAAAGCAATATACCACAGCGTCAACACACACCAAAGCAATATACCACAGCATAGACACACACCAAAGCAATATACCACAGCATAGACACACACCAAAGCAATATACCACAGCGTCGACACACACCAAAGCAATATACCACAGCGTCGACACACACCAAAGCAATATACCACAGGGTCAACACACACCAAAGCAATATACCACAACGTCGACACACACCAACGCAATGTACCACAACGTCGACACACACTAAAGCAATATACCACAGCGTCAACACACACTAAAGAAACACACCGAAACGAAACTGCAGTGTCAACTCACAACGATACAATATGCCATATTATCAACACACCATCACAACACACCATGGCGTCAGCACATCACAACACAATATACGGCTCTTTTGATATACCACAACACAGTATACCACGGCGTCAACATACCACAACGCAAAATACCACGATGTCAACATCACAACACAATATACCATGACGTCAATTTATCACAACACAATACATCATGGTGTCAACACACCACAACACAAAATAGCACAGCTTCTTATCAACTCAGTTCACCAAAAAGGAACCACAGTTTAATGAAAGATTTATACCACAAACCCATACGTACAAATTGACGTTGGCAACACACATGGCTAACTTAAATGACACATCAGCTCGCAATAGTGAGGTCAACAGACAAAGAAATGCAACTTCAGTACGCTTACACATCATACCTATTCAATAGCATCAGTTTATGCGGCTTCATTATAATTACATCCGAGCTTTAACGCACAAAGCATCAGACATAAGATATATATATATACCATGTACCATGTATACTTAAGTGCATTTTTACTTTTAAATTTTATCGTTATCTATCACTAAATAGAACTGAGCTTACCGGTGTGACGTGGTGTTGAGTCTATCAGCGAGTCATGCAATTTAACGTGTCAGCAATATTAGTCGATTATAAATCATATGTTACCTCTGTCACTGACATTTCCAGCCGAACTCGTCGGCATTTGTCTAACCGTGTATCCACTATCCTTAAGAAAAGCGACGATTTTCGAGTATAAATAACAAAACAGCCTCATGCTGATAACACATTTAACAATTTTGTCACAGATGTTTTTGCGAAAATTGAATCCCCGCTCGAGTGTAAATCATGTATTATCACTATAGTCAGTTTGAAGTTTTTCACACATTTTAGCAGCAATAAAACGAAAATAAAACTAGACCTAATTACTGATCGGGCTAATGACGTCACACGTATCGCGGTTCCCGCTGTGAGGAGGTTTTGTCCAGGAAAACTCTCAAACTGTTCCGAGTATTATGTGTATTTCATTATGCCGGGCGTGACGGCGCCTCGCCGGACCAGGACATGTACAGGATGTCGTGTTTGTAAGACGTCCCGAGGAGATCTAAGCGAAACCATTGATTTTATGTTTAATCTCGTTTTGTACTTATTTAATTCCGTCATATTTCTAACTGTATAGATAGGGTGTATTGTTCATTTATGGGACTCGTTTCACAAGTAAATATACCCCTAAGACTTAATACCCTGTGATATTCACTCTAGCAGTGACTTGCAATGTTAGGTCATATAATTAAGATGCGGATCAGTGGTGTTAATATTTGTGTTTCTGTTTGAGGGAATACATATATACTCGTATCTCTAAGGCACTAAAGTCCGTGTTGCTAAATATAAACATCGCGACTAATGCCACGATATTCCGTGATTTGATATGTGAATCAGTTCCGGACAGTTTCTGTATAAGGCATAGAATCATGTG